AACGGAGTGACTGGGCAGGCGGAGCTTCTGAAACTGGCTTCGTGTGGGAAGGTGCATGGGTGTGGACGGGGTTGTGGAAGGAAGGAAAGGGGCGCGAGACGGGAGGCGCGTGGGTGTGGACGGGGGACTATATATATATATATAGAGAGAATTATAGAGATACATCCAACCTCCAACCCGACTAAAAAGGGAACCGTCTTGTTTTGAGTGTGCTTGAGGGTGCTTTGCCGTGGGTAACGGAGGCTAAAAGACCTGTTGCGCGCTGCTTTTGGGTCCGCGGGCTCACCTTGTTTTGTTTCTTTTTCCTTCCTCTCTTTGTTGACTATCTCGAAGATCTCCAAGCGCTTTGCTGAAGTTCGCGGTTTTCCGACAGTCGTCCGATTACCGAGGCTCTGAAAGGGCTCAAAGAGCGCAAAGAGAAGGCGGAAAAATCGGTCCGAGTTTCTCTGGGAACAGAAACTGAACACACCGACCGCATCGACCCTTCTGCTAAGACACCGACCTCACTCACCTTTTTCAACTGAACACGCCGAGGTCCCTCATGCGTGAGGATGGACCCGGACGCGGCTGAAACCAGCTGCAGCTGTAACGGATTGCGGGCGAAAGACGAAACATTTGGTTTTATCTTTTGACACCAGTGGTTTTACTCTGATCGGTGCCAACAGCAAGAGACCTTGGCTAGCCGCTTGATCAGTGTCCTTTGATCCACCGTAGGAGCAGTGTGCCAACACCTTTCCTTTCTAGTTGCGTGGCCGTCCAAGGGCTCCAGGTGTCCAGGTCAAAACGCTGGAGGCAACCGTTTCAGGGGAAAGCGCTGCAGGGAAAGCCAGCGCCCACAGTCAAACGCTTTGCACAGCCCTTCCAAATTGCCCTTCCAACATGACAGCTGGACAGTGCGAGGATCTGATTCTCACCCGCCCCAAGCGTCACAGCTGGAGACCCATTCCCACAAAAAGCCTGGTTTCGGAGACGCATTCGTTGGCAAAAAACGGTCTTGGGACCGTTTGTGGGTTTGACTTGATTGCCATGGCTACTTTCTTGCCGGATAATGTTGAGAGAAGGTACCGAGTGTGCGCTTGGGTGTCTGTTCTTTGCCTGTACCTTGTGCCGACCGCCTATGTGATGTGGAAGGGCTACAGCATCTACAATTCTGACCTGCCCTCCTTACAGACCTCGATGTCAGCAGATTGGGGTGCGTGGCCGTATTTCCTGTTGTGCAGCGCTGAGGGGTTGATGCGGCCACTCGTCTGTGATTGTTCGTTCGGATCGCTTCTACAAGTCCATGCCGGGACGAAGCTGCCACAAAATGAGACCAGGCAGTGCACCCCAAACAGGACATGGTGCAGCTTGGATGGCCGCGAGGACGTTGAAAGGCTCACCAGCATTTTCAACGTAGATCTTGGATCTCTGCGTTGCATGGCAATCAATGCCACAATGCTCAGGCCGAAGTGGTCAAATGATCGGATGGGCGCGCCTCCTGAAATCAGGTTCAAGCTTTTTGCGGAGAAGCAAGAACCCATCACCTTGTGGGCGATGTCAAGTCGTCCGCCACCTGACCTTCGTGTTCTAACAGGTTTTGTGCCAGGCACAACAGTGGCAGTGCTTAAACAAAGACGAGAAGGAAGAATACGAGTGTCCACGAACCCTGCTCTGAAGAACATGTCAAGAAACTTCTGGGGGGAGATCAAAGAGCGACACTTCTATGAGAGTCTAGCGTCCGTCCTGTACCCAAAGCTCATTGACACCTACAGTACCCAACTGGAGTTTCAATACCCTGGACTGAAGGACAGGGATGGCATTTCGCGCTATGACGTGGATTTAAAAGTGGCTTCACCGCATGTGGTGGAAGAGGTGGAGATTGGCCGCTGCCCACAGATTGCATTTTTGCTAGCCCAACTTGGTGGGTACACGTTCCTTGGCAGCATGCTGGCAGTTTTCCCATTGTTGTATTTTCCAGAAAAATGTCATGTGCCTGCAACGATGCACAGCACAATGCTGATGCTGATGCAGGTCACTTCTGTCAGTTATTTTGACTGCCATTTGGGTGCGCCGCTGGCCGCAGAGCGCAGTGGTACAGACCTACGAGGCCCGAACGTTCCTCCTGGCCGATCGGAGTGGGGAGCCACCAATCTTGTACGATGTAGATCAGTCGTGTGAGTCGTCTGAGATTACCAGCTCTTAGGTAATGAGGGCAATGCATGTGCCTCAAGGGCAATGCATGTGCCCATCACCACTGGTGATGTCCCGATTTTTGAAGCCTAACTAGAATCTGCCAGCAGTGTTCTATGTTTGGCTCGTCAGGCCGAAAAAACAAGGGTCGGGTCCGCATTTTCAGAGGAGTGGACTACTTCGCATCGTCGTTGACTGACTGATGTGCAATATGCTTTGCAGAAGCAAATGAGACATATATAACATGGAAGGGGGGAATATTGCAGATCAGCCACAGGCAACAGGGCAGATTGCCTGTTGCATACACCTGTGTGGAAACAGTGCCAAGCTCTCTTTTTGTGAGTCAATGTCAGAAACCTTTTGTTTGGGCATTCTTGTTCTTTTGTGATTCTGCGATATGAGCACTAATAAGCTTGAAGCAGGTTTCAGAAGGCACAGTAGCATTGGTTTTTGGAAGCGTCACTTTATTAGTGGCCTGTGCCTGCAAAGGTTTGTTTCGGGCAGCTTGTTGTATTATGAGACCCTTCATGGCCCGCTGTGTTCCTTTTCGCAAGATGAGTGTGGGGGACCTAGCGCGATGGTCTACGGGCTATGTGTTGGACAACATTTTGTTTCCAGTTGACATGCTGGTTTGGTGTTGGCCTTTTTCAATGGTTTAGGTACAGACATGTACAGTCAAGTTAGTACACTGTTTGCTAGTTGAAAACTACTCCGCTACCGAAGCGCGTGGATCAAAACAAGCGTGCTACCAAACATGGTAGCGGAGCACTGAAGATCCCGGGCAAAGACCCGGGGGAGGTGCTGAAGGGGCAATAGCGCTATCGTGACGCTTAGCGGAATCCCCGGGCGCGCATGGATGTTCTGGGAGGTCTGAGGACACTCCTTTTCTGCTTCGTGTTGGAAGCCATTTTCATCCGATTCTTTGCACTTTCAGGTGAGTTCGAATCAATTGTTGAAGATCTGCAAGAGTTTTGGGTAGATTCGAAGTTGTGCATTGAATATCATTTGATATGGACAGCATTGGTGGTGGTGCAATGGGCAAGGACATTGTTGGTGGGAGCCCAATTGGAACGTTGTCTTGGTGTTGTGTATGCAGTTTGCATTCAACCGGAGTTCAACAGCTTTAGAGCAGTTCTTTTGGTGTCTTCTCTTGTGGCCTTTTTAGTTCGCACGCTTCAAATGCGCTTGAGCCTGAGATGTCGAAAACGGAAGAAAGGAGTTCAGCTGAAGAAGAAGACATCAGGGTTGAAAAGGAAGAAACGATTTGAACAAAGACTTCAATTTCGTGGTTTGAGTTTTCTCATTTTGATGAGTTGTGGGCACAGTTGCAATGCAATGGATGGTGAGCAGTTCAGGCAGTTCATGACAGGATTTGGTACATTGTTGCAAAAGCAAGATGTCATTGTACGTGGTATTACAGAGTCCCTTTCAGCAAGCTCTTCAGCGACAACAGCCAAAGGTTTGGAGTCGGCAGCTCGGATCTTGAAATCACCAGAACAATTTGATCCGACATCTGAAACAACTTGGAACACGTGGCGACACAGTTTCTTGAATTGGTTGAGCTATGCTGATGGCAGGTTTCTAGCATCGATACAGGACATTGAAAAGTTGACGCCTTCAGATGCAGTTGAAACAGCAGATTGGTCAGACAATGATTGGGACCTAGCAAGGAAACTATACAGTATACTCACTAGCTACCTACGTGGCTCTGCATTGCACCTATCCAGATCAGAAGCTGAGAATCGAAACGGGTTCGTGTTGTGGAAGAAACTGGTTGACTACTATGCTCCAGCAACCCGTCAAAGGGCGCTGTCCCTGAGCCAGGCGATTTCGTCTTTTCCTCAGTTTGTTCCAGGTGGTGACAAGACTTTGCAAGAGCATGTGAGCGGCATGGAGACATTGGTTCAACAATATGATTCACTCAGTTCCAAAGCTTTCGACAGAGATGTTTTGTTGGGAGTTTTGCTACGGTTGTGCCCAGACAACATTCGACAGCATCTCACATTGGCGATTTCAGATTCTTCGTCATATCAAGAGGTGAAAGAGCGGATTTTTGCTTATGAAAGGAGCAGTCGAATGTGGAATGTGAATGACGTCCTCAAGACAGTTGGCAAACAGGTTGCAAGTTCGTCGAAGGCAGATTCAGGTCCAGTTCCCATGGAAGTTGATGCAGTCACCAAAGGTAAGGGCTATGAGAAAGGCAAGGGAAAGCAAAAAGGTAAGCAGAAGGGCGGTTGGTTCAGTCAGTGGCTCTCTGCTGGTTGGAAAGGTGGTGGAAAATCAAAAGGCAAGAGCAAAGGAAAGAGCAAGTCGAAAGGAAAGTCCAAAGGCAAATACAAAGGAGGTGGAAAGAAAGGGAAGTCGAAAGGAAAAGGCCAAAGTCCGGATCGGTGCCGGATTTGCAATGGTTGGGGGCATTGGGGAAATGAATGTCCTCACAAGAATCATGTCAATGAGGTTCGACAGGAACAGGTTCCTCCAGGAGCAGACGCTGCCAGGGTTCCTTCTAGCGGCGGAACAGCATACAGTTCGGTTGGGAGCACAGCAGCTTCAACTACGTCACGACAGGTGAGAAGAGTCTACATGTATCATGTGGCAACGCCTCCAGAAGACTTTCCAGAGCAATATGCGCTTTCCGAAGCTTCGTCGGTTGATGATTGGTCTATGTTGACTGGTCGTGTGAGCATGGTCAAAACCTCAGAGCAGTGTGAATGCTTTGAGATGTTTGAAGAAGATGAGATGCAGACAGACGCACTTCTGTTGACAGACGATTCGTTCTATCGATGGTTGTGTATGGATGAGTGCCAGGTGTCAGAAGCCCAGAGTGATTGCAGTACATTTCATGTACGAATGGTTGAGCAAACATCCCAACAGGAAGCACAATGGATTGTTCTTGATTCAGGAGCCGATGTTTCATTGCTTCCTTTCAGCCATGGTTCAGCAGGTGTGGATTCAGGAACACCGAATCTTCATTTGGAGGACGCTCAAGGACAGAAGTTGAGGGTTGGTGGAATGAGGCAAGCAGAGCTAGAGTTCGAGCATGTGTTGGAGAGCGATCAAGGCTGTAGTGTTACAGAGTCATTCATTGTTTCGGATGTGACAAACATTCTCCTTTCCTTCGGCCGCTTGTTGAAGATAGGTTGGCAATTTGGAGAAGCAGGCGACGATGATCAGATGTTGATCGATCAGATGGGTTTCGGCCCTTGTGCGGGTGTGCTGAGGACACCTGATGGACAGTGTAGAGTCCCGGTCTATTACAGGAAGAACAGTTTGAGCATTTTGGCAAGAGTTCATAGAGTAGCTGGGAATGAGTCGACAGAAGACCAGACTGAAAGACAGTTTTTGCCTACAGGAGCGGTTCGAGGTGCATTTGTGAAGTT